CTTGAAGAATGATATTTGTGTGAATCTAAGATTATGTTACGAAGGGACCCAAGAACGTTTAGAATCTATGATATGAATGTAAAGGTTTACCATCAGTATGCAACCCACATAAGAATATGAATCATTCTAGTTTGTTAAGTGCATGATAATGACATGATATAACAAGGAATGCTCTGTTTTCTATTAACTTAATGATTATTCATATATGTAGAAGTATTCACATCACCTTTAGCACAAGGCCCTTACTCAGGGATAATAATACCGTGGTTCAAATAATTAAGTTACAAATTTACGTATGTTCTAAGTTTAAGTCTGTTATAAGTTTACGTGTGCTATAAGTCAAGAATGTTACAAACTGAAGAATGTTACAAGTTTATATACGTGACAAGTTCAAGTATGTTACAAGTAGACACATGTTACAAGTTCACGCATGTTATAAGTTCAAGTATATTACAAGTAGACGCATGTTACAAGTTCATGTATGTTATAAATTCAAGTATGTTACCAGTATACGCATGTTATTGGTTCAAGTATGTTACAAGTTTAAGTACGTTACAAGCTTAAGTATGTTACAAGTTTAAGTATGTTACAAGCTTACGTATGTTACAAGTTTAAGTGCGTTACAAGCTTAAGTATGTTACAAGTTTAAGTATGTTACAAGCTTACGTATGTTACAAGTTTAAGTGCGTTACAAGCTTAAGTATGTTACAAGTTTAAGTATGTTACAAGCTTACGTATGTTACAAGTTTAAGTGCGTTACAAGCTTAAGTATGTTACAAGTTTAAGTATGTTACAAGCTTACGTATGTTACAAGTTTAAGTGCGTTACAAGCTTAAGTATGTTACAAGTTTAAGTATGTTACAAGCTTACGTATGTTACAAGTTTAAGTGCGTTACAAGCTTAAGTATGTTACAAGTTTAAGTATGTTACAAGCTTACGTATGTTACAAGTTTAAGTGCGTTACAAGCTTAAGTATGTTACAAGTTTAAGTATGTTTCAAGGGCTTTAATGCCGACATGTTTCAAGGGCTTTAATGCCAATATGTTTTAAGGGCTTAATGCCATTCTGATAAGGGCTGTAATGCCAATTTGATAAGGGTTTATGCCATTCTAGTATGAAACAAAGTGTTACACGGAACTAAGTGCTACGATGTGAGTCACCTCTAGAATCCGTGTGAGACACTTCTTGAGTTCATATATCTATATGTTCAAGGGCTGTAATGCCATTCTGATAAGGGCTTTATGCCATTCTGACAAGGGCTTCATGCCATATGTACAAGGGCTATATGCCACCATGTTTAAGGGCTCCATGCCATATGTTCAAGGGCGATATGCCATCATGTTTAAAAGTTTAATGTTAATGTGTTCAAGGGTTTTAAGCCACTATGTCTCACGATTGGGCCTAAGGCCATTTTGAAATGAAAATAGGAACATATTGACTACGTGATATTTGTAATTAAGTATGCGTTACTAGGTGTTATGTGTAAATTGAGCATTTAAGTGCTATTACCCACTGAGTTTGACTCACTTTATGTTATGTCTGTTTCTGTAGGTAAACAACCAAGTGGTTAATCCTAAGCCATGATGCTCGTTCTTTTTGTCAACCTTTGAGTGCCCAGACTCTAGATGACGCCACTCATATTTTTGTGAAGTCTTGACGAACTTTTGGCGCTACACTTTACTTATTGTCCTAAGGTTGAAATGTGTATAATACTTTTTTTCCGAAATGTTTTTGATGTATGCCCAATTATAGAGCTAGGCTTGTATATATGTGCGTCTATAACCGATATTCAGGTGTATGTTTTAGATTTTACTTGTCTCTTTAAAGTTTTTGATCCTGGCATGATTGTAGTAGCTCAATGGAGTTTGTTTCTGTTGTCAAATTTTGATATTTAATGCTTCCGTTCAGGCCCATATGTTATGTATATCAGGTTTCAAGTCTGTTTTTGAATAGGTCATGCCCAAACTTTTTGGGGCGAGTTTGAGGCGTGACAGTTTAACTGAGCTTAGAAAGAAATCCTTGGATTTACCAGTGGAAAAAGTAATGGCTCAATTGGATCAATTGCGGGAAGTAAAGTTTGGAAAGGATCCTACCAACAAGAAAAGACCATGAGAGTCTGAAGAATTGAATTGGACAAAGAAAAGCATAATGTGGGAGCTATCGTATTGCAAGAAATTAAACCTCTGACATAGATGGGAAAAACTCTTACGGGACGATGTTGGCCATAGATGGGAAAAATAAGGACACGTACAAAGCACGTGATGATTTGCAAGAAATGGGCATAAGGCAAGAATTGCATCTACAAAGGAAAGATAACGGATCCGTTGTAAAGCCTCGGGCAGCCTACACATTGGATTCTCGACAAATAGATGGTTTTTGTGAATTCTTGAAATCGATTAGTTATCCAGATGGCTATGCAGCAAACATCTCAAGATGTGTGACTTCTAAAAATGGAAGATTATCGGGCATGAAAAGCCATGATTGTCATGTCCTGCTTCAACGACTTCTACCAATTGGCAGGCGTGGTTTTGTGAACAAGGAGATCTGTACAACACTATTTGAGTTGGGCAACTTCTTCCAAGAACTGTGCTCAAAAACATTAAGGCAGACTGATTTGGAAAAAATGGAAGAACGAATTGTGCTCATACTTTGCAAGTTGGAGAAAATTTTTCCTCCAGCTTTCTTTGATGTGATGGTCCATTTGGCTGTTCACTTGCCCCGTGAGGCCATGTTCGCTGGACCGGTGCAATATTGATGGATGTTCCCGACCGAAAGGTAATCATTATGAACATATGGCTGTTTATTAATTTGTTATAACTAAACTATTGTGCAAAAATCCACCCATAAAAGACTAATGTTTAAGAAGTAATTTTCTTGCATCAAGAAGCATAATTTTCATTGTCAATTTTTGTTGAAGGTTTATCGGGACTTTGAAAGGGTATGTCAGTAATAGAGCACGTCCAGAAGGTTCTATCACTGAGGCTTACATTGTCAAAGAGTGTCTTACTTTTTCTTCAATGTACTTAAAAGGGATTAATAAACCTGAACGAAATGATGATGGTGGTGAACGTGGTCCCGGGATGGAGGTCTTCACCCAAAATGCTCGTCTATTCTCACCTATCACAAGGGCTCTTGACCCTTCGCAAAATGAACGAGAAATGGCTCACTGGTTTGTGTTGTACAATAGCTTCAAGGTGGAGCCATATATTGAGTATGTATTTAAGTTTAATTACGTTTATGCATAATCGTTCCATTTTGTTTCGAACTCTCATAGTTAATTACGTATATCACATTTCCTTGGGTAGGGAGCAGAAGAATATTTTACATAATCTACAAGGACGTGACATAACTCGGGTACAACGAGAAGAATTTCCAAAATGGTTCAAAAATCGTGTAAGATATACTAAAGAAAATAACTGAATACAATTGTTGAAACTTTCAATTCACATTAACTTAGTACACTTGTTATATGGTGTTTTATGTAGATGAATGATTTGCGAACGAAAGGGTCACCTGACGCAACTGACGAATTGTAGTCATTAGCAAATGGTCTTGGATTGGTAATTGACTTTTCTTCTGGGTGCATCTACAATGGAATTCGATTCCATACTAGAAACCGTGAAAATCGTCGTACCTGCCAAAATAGTGGGTTGGTCGTAAAAGGGGACCATAATGGGAACCAAATTAATTTTTACGGCCACTTGTGCAAAATATGGGAATTGAAATACTTGCATGGGGGTACAGTGGTTTTGTTCCAATGTGAATGGTATGACACCGGTCACAAGAATAGAATATACTCCGATGAACATGTCACAAGTATTGATGTTACAAGACTTTGGTATAAAGATGACCAATTTGTTCTACCTAGTCAAGTAAGACAAGTATTCTACGTCAATGATACCAGCAAAGGCAAAAATTGGAGAGTCGTTGAACGTGTTAAGCATCGGGGAGTATGGGATATACCAGAGTGGGATGATGTCTCTAATGATGCTTTTCAATAGGATGAAACCACTGATGGTGTTGGGGTAGTGATCCAAGATAATGATGTTCAATACAGCAGGGATGATATGGATCCTGAGATCATTTTCAATGATCAACTAATGGCAGAGAATTTAGTTCACAATGATGACGAGGACGACACAATCATAGAGTATAATGATGATGAAGATGATGAACTGCATAGACAACCTGATGTTGATGCAGATCCTGATATAGATCTTGATATAGATTATGATATGTAGTGTTTAATTTTTAATTACATGGACAAGTGTTATAATTTAATAATAAATTGCTTGGTTTACATTGCATGGCATTGTTTTTCAAATTTCATAGCATTGTTTCTCTATTTCATTTCATTTAATTATATGCCATATGTACAATTACAAAGATGTCCAGAAACGGTAAATCATTTTTGAAGCCCGGCGGCTTAGTCCAGAAGATGACGAAATATGAGAAGGATAGGAAAAAAACAATCTAGAAAAATAAAATCAGATTTGATGCTCTAGGGATAAAGTCCTTCAAGAATTCAATGTTTGGTTCTATTGAAAAGGACAATAGTGAAAGTTGTAGGGTGGGAAAGAGAAAGGTGGGTGAAACTGATAATGACGAGGACTATCAAACACTTGATGATGTTGAAGGACTGAGTTCTTCAAGTGATAATGGCGAGCCTTTTGATTCTCAAGTGATTGAGGTAATAAATGTGTGTTTAAAAAGTAATTTCTCTATTTTTTTTCACTTGTTATATTACTTGTGGTATGTTTAGTTATTTCAAATTTATTTTTTATTAAGCAACCTTAAATTATTGAAAATGTACTAACAATTCTTTTTTATATTATGTCAGGATATTCATATGGGTCCCGGTAGGAAAACAAATAGATGTGCAGCTCGCCTAATAGCTTCACAAACACCTAGGGAAAAGAGAAGTACTGTTGATGAAGATACACTTACTCTTCCGAGACGACCTGTAGCTGCACAAGTTAATCATTCAGAGAGCACACCTGAGGTCTCGACCCAACCTATCCATCTTCCCGCCTTACATACTAGGTCCGATCAGCTCCCTACCTCCGCCACTCAACCTGACCACCTTTCAAGTCCATGTACTGTGACTAACAGTGGAGGTGAGAAATAAATGACCACTTAAATGAAATGATAATTTCTTATCTCAATATTTATTTAGTGCATTCATGTTTTATGTCGACTAAATTGAATAAAATTTTGGTCATAATAGCATCAATTCCAGTTTTGGGCAAGAAACGTGTACGAGGACCGACCCGAGGAAAGAATGTGGAGAAGATTAGAAAGGAACGTGGTGATCGAATACCCGTTACACTTAACCGTTTGACCAAAGCAATAGAAGGGGATTACGCCACACCGCTAGCAGCTGCTCTTGGTCAACAAATTCGAGTTCATGCCCCAGTTCGAAATGATGGATGGCTAGAAATTGCCTTTGGGTTAAGAGAGTCCATTGTTACAAGAGTTGGGGTAATTTGAAATATATGTGTTATATATTTAACATGTTATTTATGTTAATCGTAATGATATATAAAATATATTGAATTTTATTATTTCCAATTGCAGCAAACTTTTGACTTTGGGGACTACAATAATGATGTGGATGTGAGATGTATTATTGATCATAAGTGCCAAACTTTGTACAGTGAATGGAAAAGTAGATTACACACACACTACAAATCCCTTAAAGAAGACAATGTATCTGACCTCAAAAGTTAGATACTATATCCTTGTAAAAAGGATGATTGGGAATGGATGATTGACAATTTGTGGGAAACTGATGATTGGAAGGTATTTATAAAAATATTTACTGAAGTAACATCCTCCTGTATATTAATACCTAATTTTTTTTTTAATTTGTAGGTAAAGTCAGAGAATGCGATGAAAGCGAGAGGTTGTGTGAAGTATAATCATACGAGCGGCTCGAGATCATTTGCATCGCGAGCATCTATCATTGTAAGTGTAGATTTACAAATTTGAACATGCTAAATTATAAATATAGAATTTTTTGATTGACTAGAAAATCTAATGAAATGAAAGGTACAAGGAAGCAAACCGACTATTACAAAACTATTCGAGGACACCCACAAACGTCACCGACATGGGGGAGTGTGGATAAATAACACAGCTGAGGAACATCATGTAACCACAACTATTTCAATTTCAATAATAAATGTTTGCATTTTGATATTATGTTTTAAGCTTATTTATGTTTCATTCATAGGCCACTATGGTTTCAAAGATCGCTGAGCAATCTCAACCTAGTGTCACACATCCATTGTCTGAGGAGCAGATTTCCAGAGAAGTACTTGGGAAGAGGTTGGTCTACTTGAAGGGATACGGGATCCACAAGGACAGTACTTCATCTTCTACACATTTTGAGGCTCCTAACTCCGAGGTGATTGTTCTTCAACAGCAGTTAGTTGACCAGCGACAACAATTAGCTGACCAAGGAAAACAGTTAGTTGACCAGGCTCAAAACATGAGTACAATGCAAACTATCATTCAAATGTTGGCAGCAAAAAATGGGATAGATCTAGCAAACATTCCGGGGTTAGTTCCAAGCAACAATGTCGGGGAGGATGCATCGGGTGTAAGGGAGGATGAAACTTCTCTCGGTTGAAATAGAGGTAAATTTGACACCTCATTAAATTGATTTACTTTATTTAACCAATCCTAACATGTGTCAACAATATAAAATCAGATAAACTTTGTATTACAATCCTAGCATTACAACCTTTGTATACAATAGCTTGATAAAACAATAGCTTCACAACAATTTTCTGATTAATTTTAACTATATTTGTATACTATTGTTGAAGTTAATGCATTAATAAAATACTCATGTTTTTATCCTTTGTTCACAGGTTGGTGATGGATGTTCGTGGTTCAGTAGTGATATATATCATTTTGCACGTTGGCATTCATTTAATTTTTCTTTGTTTCGTTTTATAGGTTTTTCTGTTGAATGTTTATATACTTTTCGGAATTATTATGTTTGGGATTGTTGGATATAGTTAGATGCATTTTAGGATTCTTATGTTTAGTATAGTTGGATATTTGAATAAAATTTGGGATATTGAAATGCATTTGATATTAATTTGGTTACATTACTAATTGTTATGATGTGTTCAGTTTAGTTTTTACGCAATGTTATGTAAAGGTTTTTTTGGAATGTTTTACAGAGAAATGCAGGTTACTTACAAATACACGTTTAGGAAGTGGATCAATTAGGGTTTAGGTGTAGTATGAATTGCTAAGTAATAATAGGTCATGGGAAGCTAAGATTGAATTTGTTTTAGATGGTTAGGGTAACAATATTTTAATCATCAGGAAAAAAGTATAGGGTGTCAATGTGTCTTATTTTATCTTGCATTTTTTATATTCATTTGCAGTAACTTGTTTTCAAATTCTTTTTTTGTTCCCAAAAGAAAAAAAAATGGCTTCATCTTTAATTCTGCTGGCTGCTGCTGCTGCTGCCGTGGTGGCTGATGCTTGCTGCGGCTGCTGCTGCTGCTGCAATGTTGCTGTGAGGCGTACATACTGCCAATCCATCTGATGAAGAACTAGCTGAATCAGCAGTTGTGATATGTGAAACTTCTGCAACATGCGGTGTGGTGTGCTGTGTATACAACTAAGGAAGTGAATGGTTTGCGGAATGTGGCTGAAGTTGCACCTGTCGGACATGCATGTTGAAGGGAAGGTAACAACTAGTATATTCTTATTTTTAGACTAGACTGTAGAAGAGTCCATGTAACACTGCAAAAAATACATTCCCAGAAGCTCCAGACACTTGTTAATGCCTATATTTTTGTATTAAGCTTCCCTTATGCAAAAAAGTATATGTTGGGACATTATTTAAGTCAAATAGAGTGGGTGGCAAAATTTTAAGTGACTGATGCTTTGGTTGATGTCTGCTGACAGGTGCCTATTCACTTCCATAATGGTGGTTGAATTTGATTTTTTGTTTTTGATTTTATTTTTTTTCCTTTCTCAGGTTGTTGAGCGGTTCCAAGAATTGTTTGCTCAGACAAAGTATAAGGAGGCTGCAGAACTTGCTGCAGAGTCACCGCAGGGAATTCTCTGCACTTCTGACACTGTTGCTAAATTTCAGGTTTTATTAACATGATATCAGCCCTAACCATTTGTCTTCAGAATGTGTAAATGTCAAGGCCCTCATTTACTCTTTATGCTTTACAGAGTGTTCCAGTGCAAGCTGGGCAAACACCTCATTTGCTGCAGTACTTTGGAACTCTTTTAACTAGGGGAAAGCTCAATGCTTTTGAGTCATTGGAACTATCTCGTCTTGTTGTAAATCAGAACAAAAAGAATCTTTCGGAGAATTGGTTGGCAGAGGACAAACTTGAATGTAGCGAGGAGCTTGGAGATCTTGTGAAGGTTTGATTTGGAAGATTGAACTTTTCATGATGTTTATTGTGCTATAGTTCTTATACAAAACTTTTCTGTAATCCTTTATTTTTAATCTCTCTATTTCAAATTTACTCATTGTTTAAACTATACTTACAAAAATTTACCTGAAATGAAAATAATTTCCCAAAGTCGCTTGTTCTATATTATTTATCAGATCTGTTCTATTGGAATTTCTGATGTAATGAATCCTGTTTCTATTGCAGACAGTGGATAATGACCTTGCACTGAAAATTTACATTAAAGCAAGAGTGACTCCAAAAGTTGTTACTGCGTTTGCTGAGAAGAGGGAGTTTGACAAAATTCTTATATACTCAAAGCAGGTGACATGCTTATGCAATTACAATCATTCAAATAATTTCATATGTTTTATTTTAATTTCACATGTTCAAAATATGGATACTAAAGATATTATTTTTATTTATCATTTTATAAACTACACATAAACTAGGAGTACCATTATTTCTGGAATTGATCGGAGGCATTGTCACTCCTGTAATTTATTTACTTTATTTAACCAATCCTAACATGTGTCAACAATATAAAATTAGATAAACTTTGTATTACAATCCTAGCATTACAACCTTTGTATACAATAGCTTGATAAAACAATAGCTTCACAACAATTTTCTGATTAATTTTAACTGTATTTGTATATTATTGTTGAAGTTAATGCATTAATAAAATACTCATGTTTTTATCCTTTTGTCCACAGGTTGGTGATGGATGTTCGTGGTTCAGTAGTGATATATATCGTTCTGCACGTTGGCATTCATTTAATTTTTCTTTGTTTCGTTTTATAGGTTCTTTTGTTGAATGTTTATATACTTTTTGCAATTATTATGTTTGGGATTGTTGGATATAGTTAGACGCATTTTAGGATTCTTATGTTTAGTATTGTTGGATATTTGAATAAAATTTGGGATATTGAAATGCATTTGATATTAATTTGGTTACATTACTAATTGTTATGATATGTTCAGTTTAGTTTGTATTATTTGTTATATAAAGGTTTTTTTTAGATCTAGCTGAAAATATTTGTGACACAGAATTTCTAGGTTATGACACAGTTTCCACCAGAGTAGTAGTTGAGGCTCTCTTGGTGAATGGGAAACCGATACTACAGGTTTCCGAAGGCATTAAAGACATTTACTTCATCGTCTAACGTGTTACAAATGGCTGAAGCAAAGTCTGCTATAAGGAAACCAGTGTTCAATAAGGTTGATCAGCTGCGACCTGGCACTGGTGGACATAATCTCATTCTGAAAGTTGTTAGTTCGAAGACGGTGTTACAAAAAGGCCGACCAGATGGCCCCCAGGTACCACTGATTTTTTGTAATTTGGCCCATGCTTTAAATTTTAAATGTTTGTCATGCCTATCATACCTGTTGAACATTGATTTTTTTTTGGTTGCACCCTTTAGTTTCCTCTCTGATGCGGGTCTTAAACTTAGGGCAAAGTTTCTATTAAGTTTGTTGAGTTTAATTCTTGGCTTTCCTTTTATGCAGTGGACTTGATGAAGCCTGATGGTACTGTAATATTGCGCAATGCTAAAATTGACATGTTCAAGGGGTCAATGAGGCTTGCAGTGGACAAGTGGGGTCGTGTAGAGGTGACTGAACCAGCCAGCTTCACCGTTAAAGACGATAATAACCTGTCATTGCTAAAATTGGTATGTTCTGCTGCCTCTCTTATTTAGTAGTGTTGTTTTGTCTAGTGCATCATGATCTGTTGGGGTTTAACTTGTGATGGGGTTTGTTGCAATCTATTGCTAATGCTGCTATACTGATGGGGTTTGTATGGAGTCTCTCTGATCTGTTGAAGATGATCAGCGGCTGCTTGTTTATGAATTTATGACCCGTGGAAGCCTCGAAAACCATCTTTTCATTCTCTTGATTAAATTCCTATATATGCTTTATTTTCATGATTATTACCTTTAGCAAATTGGTAATCTGACATCATTGTTCATTTGACACCTCAGAATGTAGTGGTATTTTAGGTTATTGGGTTAAATCATCTGAAAGAAAATTAGGGTTAAGTAAGAAGAGAAGAAGGAAGAAGAAGAGTAGAGAAATAAGTTTAGGGCTTTATCATCTACTCTGCACCTCAGAATGTATTTATATTAGTGCGATATGAGATCACAAAACTACCTTTAAAATAAAATGAAAAACTAACAACTCTAACAATCTAGTTTAGATCAGCTATACTTGCAGACCAGTTTATATATTGGCTGTTTATCCTTGTGCCCTGTAAGTTCACAATACTGGTCTCTTGTACTCACAAAATGAGGCATCGTGGTAAATAAGTTCTGTTGGGTATTTCCTGCAGTTTTAGTTATTAGTACATTTAGTACTTAGGGTGGTAGAATGTTTGGAAAATCATACTGTTTTATGTTATTGCCAGGTTATTTGCTATAGGAAAGTACCGTCAGAAGAACAAATCAAAGACCTATTGCGCAAGAAGAACTTTGAGGAAGCCATCTCCTTGGTGGAGGAGCTTCAAAGTAAGCATATATAGGAACTTTGAGGAAGCCATCTCATGCTCAAGTGGGTTTCCTCTTGCTGTTTGACTTGCATTTTGAGGAAGCAGTAAATCACTTCTTGCTGTCAGAAACTATGCAACCTTCTGAAATATTCCCATTTATCATGCGAGACCCAAATCGGTGGTCATTGCTGGTATATACTACATTTGCTTGTGATATTGCTTCAGCACAAGGCTGCTGATTGTGCTAGTTATTGATCAGCAAATTTGGCTGGAAAATTTTCTTTCTGACAAATTATAAGTAGCTAATACCAAACTAGGAATGGTTTTTATGCTATACTTTGTTTTTCTTTTCCTTTTTTGGTTCAATTTCATGGTTTGTTTGGAGTTTTAAACTAGGAAATCGTGCATCACTTGCATAAACTAAAGGTTTCTTATGCTTTGTCACACTTAATTACAGATAATGATTGATGCAGTGACCTGTGAACTAATGCTTCATAGAGATTTTTTTCCTCACTAGTTTTTAATTTGAGAGTTTCTTGGTAATTCTACATGTTGATTGGTGTTACGAGTAAATATTTTATTATGAGGTGTTGTTACTTGCTCTATTGTTGGTAGTTATTATTTGTGTTGGTCTAGGATTCTGGAAAAGTTTATTTGCTGAAACTAAGTATTCTTATGAGTGTATTTTCTAAAAGTTTCTATTTAATTTAAATTCTAACTTGAGCTGGGTTGTGAGTCTTTAATCCAGCCTGTTATTAACTTAAATAATTTCTTCAAAATTTGAGTTCCATCTGGTCATAACTTTGCTTGTGCCTTTGATGTAAGATGAGGTTTAAATACAATGAACGCTTTGTCTTGGTTAATGAACGATTGCGGAAATTTTTGTTGATTTGAATGGGGATAGCAGTCATGATTCATGGTTATGGTTCATTTCTTTCCCTTTCTTTTTCTTACTTTGTGAAATTCTTCTTCTACGGAACTTCTCAAAGCCCTTTGTATCACTAGAATCTAATCAAACACTTTGAATACTTTTGAACTCCCCCCCCTGCGCCCTTTTTTCCCATCATTCAAACTGAAATATCTAGGTAATCTTGCATAAGGGAAGCTCTAATTTAATTCTTGTGGAGTTCATGTGATACAAACATTGTTAGAGAATCTCACTTGTACATGACAACTCGAAACTACTTTAGTTGGAGCTGCAACCCCCCCTCCAAAAGTAAAAAGTATCCTCTTATTGCAATCAGGGAGGCACCCACACCACCTTCCATACTAGTATATCCCAACAATATTGTGACTGGGGGATTCTCTATCTCCCACGTAGGCGCTTGCATGCTTGCTCACCATTTTCTTTATATTTTTAAATGAAATTGAAAAGATAATAGATGGCTTGATTTGATATGAAAAAATGGTTTCAGGGGCTCTTAACCCAACATGATGTGAACTTGTCCTTTATCTCTTAGATTTATTTTATCTCTAGTTGCTTGGTTTTGCTTGGAATATTATTTTATACACTCTTGAAGAGTTTGGTCTTTTCTCAAAGTATGTAAGAAGGGAGGGATTGCTTGAACTTAACTAAATTTGTGGGATAAGTAGTAGTGATAGCATTTAAGAAAGAGATTAGGAAATTGTATATCTTGGTACTTTTCATGTTGTGGAGCACTCCACTGTTACTTAACTTTGCATATAAATATTTGATGACTGGTCTTATTTGGGGCAATTTGTTGTGAAATTACTCGATTTCAAAGTAGAACAGAAACAGGAAGATGCTATCTTAGCTGGATTACGACTTTGTGTGTGTGTGTGTGTTCTGTTGCAAATATAATTTAAAATTCTGCGTGTGATTTATACGTCTTGAAATAGTCTACCTCTATCACTTAACCATTGGGACATGCTTAATAAATAGTTATAATGATGTGCATATGTTATTTTTACTTCGAAAATAATTTCCCTGTTTTGCTACCTTTATTTTTAATGTAACTTTCGTTACAGATGAAGTAATTTCTGCTATTGATCCGAAGAAGGTGGAAATTCTGCAAAGGTATGCTCCTCCTAAGTTATTGTATCTGCGACATTATCCAGATTAAAGCATTCTTGAATCAGTGGTTGACGGAGTTGGCAAATAACGAAACTCTATCCTTGCAACATCAAGTCTAGGCAGTTGCTCCTTTAGTGTTGCAGCAGTACTTTCTGATACAATTCAGAAGATGTTGTCTGATGTTTCTTTGGCCATCTCCTCATTGACAAATAGAAAAACCAGGGATCAGATCATGATTCTCAACTCAAAAAGGTGCAGCATTCTTGTTTTTCAACAAGCTTTATACCTTGTCCATTTCCTTCACCGTCAAATTTCTTCTCCCCCACTTATTGTTTAATGATAACATAAAAAATGAGAATTCACAAATGACAATTATATTATATTTACATGACTTATCTTTTGGTATTTGATTGATGCATATTTTGTGCGATCCCAATAAGTCTTTGCATTTTTGGTTGTTGTTACGAATCAACTGTCTATTGTTATGACCGATTCAGAAGTTTTCTGTCCTGATCTTGATGGTTTTTGCCCAGTAACTGCAGTTTGCTTGATTATCCCTCTCCCTCCAGTCGTGCACATTACTAGTATTTTGGTTTCATGATGCCATGCTTATTATTCCTAATCAGTTGTGACAATATCAAGTATTGACTGTAGTGTGCATCTAATTTTCAGATTTCTCAATAGACTAGTGAGTACACTAGAGGAAAAGAGACGCCACCAAGTAAAGTTAAAGGAGGGGTTGAAGGACTTGTCTGCCAAATGGATGGAGCTGCAGAATTCATTGACATCATTGTGGCGAAAGCAGGTGAGTTCATTCCTTTGTTGCTTAATTTAGACACAGTGTTTTTGTAAGTATGCTGCTCGTCCTTTTCAAAGTTAGCTTTGTGGAATTTCTTCTTGTTTTTTCCTCGACTTATAAATGTTGACTTGTATCTGAATCTGCTTAAAATGATTAAGGTGGCAGACCTTCAGTTCTTCTACTCCTAGTTATTCACTGAATTCTCTTTTAGCTCCATGGTATGTTTATGTTCTTTTATTTCCATTTTAGGCTGCACATTGTGTTTTGATTAGCTTGCTTGAGATTTATTTGGTCTTAAAAAGTGAAATTTTTTATGTTTTCCTCTGCCACAACTTGTTGTTTCATAAACAGATCCGAAGATTTTTGTTTGTGAACTATTGAACTGGCTTAAGATAAAATTCATCTCGTGTGTTACCCAAGTTGTCATACACTCTAAATATCAAAATGGAATTTACAATTTACAAGCCCAAGTCTCTCTCAATCTCTCTCTGAAGTGCTTCTTTTTATAAACCCAGGGATCCGTATTTCATTGTGGAGTTCTATATTGATTCTCTTTCCTTGTTTTAACTTTTGATACTCGCTAGTGTAGAATTTATTTAAGACTGAAGCCTAGAGAAACAACCAAATCTCATGAGAACGTGGACATAACAAATCACATATTGCAACATAATGCACATATCGTATTGTTCTATGTGTGAGATACTATGCATATTTTATGACCTGAATGCATTTATTAGCATTTGTTGTAATCCTAATGCCATCAAACTTGCTAGCTGGTTTATTGTCTATTTGGTTTTATAGATCAGTCTGTTGGGTGCATAAATTTCCTCTTATCTTCCTCACCCTCGTGTGACCATCTTCCGATTGATTGTAAACTCCATTGAAGCTAGACCTGCTTCCTACAGAAGCTAGAATAAGCGGCAAGGAATATAAGGAGAGAGTTGTTAACAATCTCAAGATTTTAATTGCGCATTACTCGGGTATTTTATTGTAGGGATGGATATATATATTTTTTTCTTTTCTTTCTCCACTAGCAGATGTTATGGGGAAGGAGGTCAATGTTTCTAATCTTGTTTACTGGTACCTTCATTATAGAAGCATTTTGTTGACTTTCTCATGACTAATTTAATGATTTGAGTGTAATAAATTTGCCACTAATGGTTCTGAGTGAAATGATTTGACTTTGTTTCATATTTCAGTGCACCAGTCACATTCTAAAACAGTGAAGAGAGCCATCAGTGAACATTGTGGTGTATGGACAATCTCAATGCTTAGTTACTTTTACTGTTTCCAATGCATTGGTGTAAGGTTAGCTTGGTAAACATTGTGGTGTACTTGAATTGAGTGTTTTTATATAACTCACTCTCCTAGTGTAAACATGACAGCCAGTGAATTAGTTTGAATTTTTACTTAACTTCTGTTAACTTGATGGCTTAAAAGTTACTAAGAATTGTATAGTTTTGAGGGCTGTTTGAACAATTGATGGATGACAAACATGGTAAACTGATTTCTGAGCATTTTGTATAGTTTTGTTGCTGGTTTTGTTTGATTTGTTTTCTGACTGTTCTGGTAAATGAGGTAAACTGCTACGTCAATTCTGATTTGGTTACATGATTTTGTTTAGGTTGCTGAGTTGAAATGGTTTTCTAAACTGGTGATGATCTGTGTTGAATCAGTTTGCTGATCTGCTATACTAATCTGCTATTCTTCTGGTGCTGCTGTGATGTTGCTGTTGTTGCTGAGATGCTGTCGTGATGCTGCTGTGATGGTGATTGTTACGATGAGGTGCTGCGGTGTTGTTGTTGGATGTTTGCTGGTGTTGTTGATGTTTGGAAGGGTGCAGGACTTTTTGTCCGGTCTATAATAGATCAGGTTTTCAATAATGGGGGTTGTCATTAGGTTTAAGTTCGGGCAACTGCTGGTGTTTTGGATGGAAGGGTATGGAGGGGGTATTTTTTGTGATTTCATATCAATGTTATTAGTTTGTTATAGTGGTGCCTGAGGGATGCCTCTTGTAAAACTGTAAATCTTTTAAAAAATTATAAATGAGTTTAAATTATTTTTGCCACTGCAAATTTGTCGTTGTTAAAAAAGTAAAGCTTTCTCGACAAATAACTTGTCGGTAAATGTGTAGCCAAAAGTTTATTTTTGCCCACTCATATTGTGTTGCTAAAAGTGTATTTTTTGCCAATGCCAATT